GGATCATTACAATGTGACAGAAGTTAATCGTTGAAAGAATATTTTCATATCACCAAGCATTACAATATGACAGAAATTAATTATTGTAAGAATATTCTCATGTCGTCATTACAATATAACAGAAATTAATCCGTGTAAGAATTTTCTAATATCATCATTACAATATGATAGAAATTAAACAACGTAAGAATATTTTCATATCACCATTACAATATGATAGAAATTAATCATTGTAAGAACATTCTCATGAAATATGGAGATAATGAACAGTAATCAAGCTCGAAAGTCCATTGAAACAATACAAATTGGGGAAGAGCAAACACGGACCTCTAAAACATCAGAGGTGGGATCAGGCGCCATGGAGGATTGAGCATTGTGAGAATATTGTCATAATATGAGACATTATCATCATTACAATATGACAGAAATTAAGAAGGATCTCATATCATTAATACAATATGTAATTTTTACAGTGATACCGACTGCAAAATTTAAAAACGAGGCAAAATCATTTTCATGTGCGATAGTGTGAAAATATCATGGGGGCAAAAATAACCTTGATTAACGCAGCAATTTTAAATTGTCCAGAAAAAAATTAAGTTTATGTCATTGTCTAACCAATAAGGATTCAACAAATCCAATTTATATGAGAATTTTGTTAATGTTGGAGAGATGACAATCTTTTGCGTCATTGCGTCAATGGCCTAATTATTTCAACTGTTATTGCAGAAACAAGCAAACGATCTTTTAATGTTCTTCACAGAGTGGTCTCTATAGGTTATCACCAGTGTGCGTCTATTTTTTCCATATCCAGATGTTTTAAAACTGTCACCCAGTATGAAGAATTTTATTGCACTCAACCCATCTCCGACAAATTAATTACTTTGAAAATGCATTTCTCGTTACGTTTAGGAACATTTAATGGTGGAGATCGCCATTACAACACTGTAGTTTGGCTCGTTTCTGATATGTGTCCATTTAGAAGAGTGCGCTTTGGAGTGTTTCAATTACTCTCCAAGAAATAATTACTCAATAATCAGGGGCTTCCCTAGGCTTTATTTTGATTGGATGTCTTATGTCAATCGAAGTGTGTCTAAACTCAGTCTTCGCTATCGGCACTGCCTGAGGTCCATTAGATGGCGAACTCTGATTGTGTATTGACGTCATCGCTGGTTTCTTAGCTCGACCAGGTCATTGGCTGATGGAAAGTAACAAGCAATACATTTAATGTAAATTATAGTAATATAGCCCCCGAATAGTTTTTAAAAATCACAAAACTAGATGTATATATAATATTAAATTTAGAAAACTGCAAAAAACAACTGAAAAAATGACGCTGAAATTCTTAAATCATCCACAACATTCTCAATGACCGTGTAGTGAAGGGCAGCGCCGCGAAAATTCCATTGGCATCGAAAGCAAGTTTTTTACTTGCCTTGATGGTCGGTCGGTCTAGCACGCTGTTCCTGTACTGCTAAAAGACAGATTCCGTAGGTCGAGAGTTCAACCCCCGGTTGGGGCGGAAGTGTGTATGCTAATAAAAGTGAACTTCTTTGTGCTTTCTATATTAATATCTTCACTTAGTACAGCTTTGTTAGTTTAAGATTTGTTGTAAAAATTGCTTTATATATAAAATTATTAATTCATTACATATGTATCGGTAACGATCCTGTATAATAAAACTAATGTCCAAATAACTGTATCTCACTTCATTTCTCAATGACCGTGTAGTGTAGGACAGAGCAGCGAGAATTGTATCGGCATCGAAAGCAAGTTTTTTGACTTGCCTAGATGGCCGAGCGGTCTATATGTAGCACGCTGTTCCTGTACTGCTAGGAGACAGATTCCGTAGGTCGAGAGTGGGGCGGAAGTGGGTATCCTAATAAAAGTGAATTTCTTTGTGCTTTCTATATTAATATTTCTTCACTTAGGGCAGTTATGTTAGATTAAGAGTTGTAAAATGTGCTTTATATGTATAATTTATATGTACTGTTTGACCTTCATCTTTAATTTTTTTTTCTCCCTAAATTCATTAGGCTTTCTTTGTTTACATGGGATTCACTTTAAGAGGGCTGAATTATCATGTTCATTTTTAGACTATTTAAACATCCTGGAAAAGAATATCTCTGTGTGAATATATAGCTAGAAATTGCTTAAAATATGATAAACAAAGACAACGCGGGCGGGTGTGACTGGTTAACAGGGGATGCTTCCTCCTCCAATTCGCCTGATCCCACCTCTGTGTTTAGAGGTCCGAGTTTCAATTTGTATTGTTCAAAGGACTTTTGAGCATGATTACTATTCCTTATCTTCATATTTCATACATATATATTCTTTCATTGTATATATATGTGACGTTTTTTTTCTTTGCTAAATAGTAAGAATCATATTTCAGATTTTTAATTTGTTGATAAACCAGCCTCCTTAATAAGATTTTCCCTCTTCCCCTATACGCGCAACATGTATGATACTGAATGGTAACATTTGCATTCTTTATACTATGTCTACAAGATCAGTTTAGAAGCACTGACGCACAAACGCATCAACGCACATACGAGACCAAGCACAAAATTCCACTGTAATTTTGTTTAAAAGAATTTGTTTCAATGGTGGTTGATTGCTTCTCTTGAAAACGTTTGCATTGAAGAATTATTTTCTCTTCGATTTCTCAAGTAAATCGACAGTAAATGACAAAGAAACTCTTATTTCATTGGGATTGTTTGGCTGTCACTTGGATCTTCATGTGATCAATCAAAGGCTCTGAAAGCGTTTCACTATCATATATCAATCTCGCCTGCAAAAGATAAGAATTCTTTGAACAATACATTTCAAGTCTCATCTTTATCTTGTAACTGACTAAAATGAAACGTCTGTGCTCCCATCGATACCACCTCAACAAATTCAAGGTTAATTAGAATTAATATAGACGTCGTTTGTACCAGAGCCCGACTTTGTCTGTTTCGTCATACACGAGAATAAATAAGATCCTTTTTTGAAGTTGGATTTTAATATCGGCTTGTTAGAGGTTTGATATCCCATTTGTTAAGCCTCACCCCTGCTTAAGATGCAAGTTTTTCAGCCTATCCATTCTTTGATTGCCTTATAGTCTTTTTTATATTATAGCTTTTTTCCTCCATGTTATTTTCTTCATTTTTTGTAAATGATTTTCAGATGCTGTCATGTATAAATTTGTGTGTGTGCGTGTGTGTGATTTCTCACAGCATATTTCAGATAAGACCAAACTTTTGTCTCTGTCTTTGTTCTACAGACACATAATTTTATTAAGTACACAGCCAGATTCAATAACAAGATGCGATAACTACTCTGTGAGAGCATCCTCACTCATTATTGCACCAGACATCCGGCGAATAATTAGCAATGGCTGTAACTGAGTGTTAATATAACCCTTGTTCACACGAAGGATGCGCACTCGCGCTAAGGTCTGTATTGAACTCAATTAAACCAAGTCTCCCGTGCAAATGACATTTTCCTTTCCTGAACAAATAGCTTTTATAAGGTCCACCTTAATCACAAACTAATAACTTCTGAATTCGTCAGTTTATCCTATTGATTCTTAGCCACAATTCCAGTCGTATAAAAGATTTATGTCTGCGGGCTGAATATAATTTACTGCAATATATGCTTTACATAAAATGTCACTTTTTAAATTCTTTTAAATGAAATAAATATTCAAATCTCTCTCTCTCTCTCTCTCTCTCTCTCTCAATCAAACTATCTGATTAATATTTACCACTGCTGCATTCATTTCTATAAACCGTTTAGATCTGCAATATTCTGAGTAAATTGTTGACATTTCCAAACAGTAACTGGTTTCTTGGAGTTTATACGATGGATTTGAAATCTGGCGATAACGACCAAGTTACCAACAATTTTGTAGAGGAATTCTCTAGCTCCTCTTTTTCATAAAATTCTATTACACTTAAGTTTGTTTGAAACTGAGTAAACAGATCTGTTTTAACAGTTGAAAAGGCAGTTCCGGATTTGCGTCAGTATTGCTGCTTTGGATGCCGTTGATGGAAGATACTGAGGCAACATACAAACGCCATTAAGACAAGGACAACAATGGTGTTAGTTTACAAATTTAACAAACATCTCTGACAGAAGCAGTCTTTTGTTTCATTTAATTTTATTTATGAGACTACTTGCTACATTTTACAGTTTAGATCAAGTAGTTGATAATAATAATGGTGATAATGAACCAAATTAACGAAAAAAAATTAAAAGACATCCTGCACAAAATATGCGCTTAAGGCTATAGTATTTAGATATGAAAGTGTTTTTCTGTTGTTTGTTTCTTCGATTCTTCAATGTTTTTATTCTGTTGCAGTGATAATTCTGTCGTTTACTGATTTTTAATTTTCAAATTAAAATCAGTAAACGACAATTCTATAATTTGAATCTTATTTTAAAGATAATATGTAAATATATAAAACGATATTACACCCTCCATTTGCAAACTTTATACCTAACATTATTTGACTATTCTATTAAGTGCTTTTTTTAACAAGTCAGTTGTAATGTAAACTAAAGGGTTTATATTTTAAACGTACAAATATGATTTATGCTTCAAAGTTTAAGTTGATTGTAAACAAACTGAGCGCACCGTTCGATTTCCTGAAAGGAATTGAAGTGCACCTATTTAAGGAACTTCAAAAATCGACCATTAAATAAAGAGTTTAATAAGGTTAGTGGATTTCATATAGATCTTAAAATTTCACTGAATACTTCACTTCAAAATACGGTATTTACAACAATAATAGGAAAGCTTTTGAATAGGGGCTTATCAATTATTAAAAGTTTACAATCCTCCGTTTCACTTAATTCTATAATAAGACAGTTGAAAACCCTCATGAATATTCATTAATTAAATGTTGTGAATCAATGCTCAAACGTATTTTGTGCAATTGTGTGTAGGACACGCGTTTTAAAGAACAACTCCGCATTGCTATATAAATCTCCGAATCAGGGAATGATTGTATGTGAAATTTCGTTGAGGGTTCCACAACAATCGCTAGATTTCAGGACAATATCTAAATGCATTAGAAGGACGGTATTAATGTTTACACAAGTTCATTTTATTTGAGTTTCCCGGTGCTATTATTAATATGTATAATGCGATATTGGAAACATGTTTACCTTTATGAATCGAAGGTCTATGATAGTTGTGTTCTTCCCTCTGGAACTCGTCAGAAGTTCAGTGTACGTACAGGGATGAGGGATTTAATCAGGAGTCAAGATGATGCCGGAGACTACAGATATATCCCTAAGCTCGTCTTCACGTCATCGCTAATCATAGTGTAAACCAGATATATTTTTCTCAGGAAAAGCTAATTACATGAAATTGCCCTTCCTTGTTAATTACCAAGTATGGTAAGTAAGGTAGCTTTTTTCTGTAGGAAACTGTGGAAACTATTATTATTTAAGGTATTTCTCCTTAATAATAATTCTGAAAGGGTTTTGCTGGCGTTTTTGCTATACTATGTAAAGAAATAGATACGCTTTTAAATATTTATTTGAATAAAATTGCATATGTTTAAAGCCGTCAAATCTAAATGCTAAGTTATTCACGAAATGTTTTAAAGGTCCTCTATTCAGGATTTACAAAGGGGTTTTAAATAGTCTTTATTTGTACTGCTTATTCGAGACATACTGGCAGGGGGTTATTTGTATTGTTATTTATACATGTTCATTTTTTTTTTAATTTCACAGTCCCTCTTTTAAAAAACAACTAATGCATTCCTTCCACATTAATGATAAATATTCATTTAAAAAACCGTACATAATACATAATTTTGATTATAGCCTAGCTGGCAGTTGCATGGTAACTGTTAAGAGTGTTAAAACGGTTGTAGAACATTATGTACTTTAGTAAGTATAAGAGGATTAGCCATTGTTCTATCGTTCGCTTTTAAAGTTAATCTTCTTTTACTCTAGTGATGTAGAAAATTAGTTGAGTATCTTTTTTTATTAGGTCAAGAAAGTATAAATGCACTGCTAGAATTAAATGCATATTGGTCTTATACAATGAATACTGAAAATTGCACTAGTGCATTATTTCCTCGTAATAAATGATAAAAAAAATCTATCGGTTCATTCTTACGCGAATGAGGTCATCTAAATTTCTGCAAAAGAAAATTTCTTACGTATTTGATTTCTGTTTCTAATATATTTCTATTACTTATTCTTTAAAATTATATTTATTAGATTTGTAGCATAAACGTCGGAAGCAAATTGAAAGCGGGGGGGGGGGGGGGAGGGAGGGCGCTAATTGAAAGTGGGGGGGGGGGGGGCTAAACCAACAACAACAACAAAACTTTTGGGGACTAAGCCCCAATTTCCAATGCCAGTATTATCTCTATGCAAAAAATAAAGAAGGGGGGCTAAGCTCCCTTCTACACCCCGCCCCCGGTTCCGATGCCTAGAAAAAAATGTTTGTTGTACATTATTTAGATCGGGATCGCTATACATTAAATGAAATTAGCGGTAAAACAACGTAGGATGACGTCACGAAAAAAAACAAATGTTGACGTTGACTTCAAAGCTTTCAGGTAGCTTAATTTATATTTTTCCTGATTATAATTGTTTCTTAGTTCAGGACCTTGAAAATATAGCAATGGCTAATCAGAGAATTTATTGGTTTTCCACTCTGTACGAATTAGGATATACCCACCCTCAAGAAGTTTGGATTTTGCGTGTTAATATGAGGTGTTCGTATGCCTAGCTGTTGTTAATCAAGATAATTGTTTTTTTGCTTTTTTTTTCAGATTACATTATAAATTGTATCCTTCTGATATTGATCTCTCTTATAGATAAATTCTTTTTAAATCTTTTTTTTTTCTTTGTGAAAAATAAAAGTGTACTTTTATTTGTAGCATGGTAGGAAATGCTTTTTTCTGCAAATGCAAGTGGGGATTTCAGGCCACCTTGAAGTCTGATGGGGTCTGGGGGTCCCCAGAATATAAATTTTCAGTTAAAGTGGAGTGTCCAGAAAAAGAAAATCTGAATTTCAATTGTTTAAAATGCTGGCTTCATCAAGAATTTTTTTTTAATTTTTACTTTTGGGGGTCTAGGGTGTAAAGCTTTCAGAAAATGGCATATTTCCAGCATTTTTGAGAAAAAAAATATGCTTTAAATTATTCTGAATTTCAATGCTTAAAATGCTGATTACATTATGAAAACTGAAAGAGGATCAGCTGCCATTACATGATCAGATCTATGACTTTTATCCAAGGAGTTGCAGGAAATGTATAGATGCTTTCTATCCTAAGTGGCATTTATAATTGTAATACTTAATTTTTGAACAGTAGATATTATACAAATATTGACTGGGCTTGAGGACAGTATTGATTGGGTAATATGTTAGTCTCCAAGGGATAAAATATTGCCGGATGCTGAGAAGAGGGCAATATTTTCATCCCAGGGAGGCTAACAATTAATTATTGTTGCCCGAAAACATAGATTACATTCATTAATATCCAACAACACATTTGTATCCTATGCATTATCTGCATGTTAACTATATAGTGATAGGGAATCTTCAGGTTTTTATAATTGTGTAAATACTGTTGTTGTTTTTTTTTTAATTGTGATGTTATGATTTTTGGAAGTTACGACAGAATCATTACATCACAATAAATCAATCTACTGATCAGAATTAAAATCAATAATATTGTGGAAAAACTCTCTTTGCCAGTCAATACATGTAGTAAATAAAAAAATGTGTCTAGAGACTACAAAGACTTTTCTATACTGAAATTAACAATCTTATAAAAGACATATATGTGTATTATTTGTAGTTCACAATTTCAATTTATTTGTGAATTACTTTTAGTGTGCCACGTACATTAAGAAATAGTTAAAATAAACAGGGAATCTAATCCATGTAATATTAGCAATTTTAATATTAAATATTTTATCACTTAATTTATTTTGGAAACTGTATTATTGACAAACAGTGTATTGCTATGTGAATTAAGAACAAGATGATATCTGACCATATTTATCATTTATTCAAAGAGAAATGAAATGCAGATATAAATTTTTTTTTTTTCATTTTCAATTCAATTTTTTTTTTTTTGTCTTTTATTTTGAAAATGATTTAGAAGTATGTACACCTTAAGCTGTGCCTTGATTTAAATGTATTTTAATATTTGAAAAATTCATTATTTCAGACATGATGGCTAAAAAACCTTAATTTCACCATGACAGAAAACTTGAATCCATCAGATGTTGAGCAATATCTGATCAAGAACCCAGAATTTCTCAAGACTTACTTAAGTAAGCACGGTGCTCCAGACATTACACACAGGGATGGTAGCCATTCTGAGCCTTCCTCTCCCGAGGTCAAAATTAAAAGACTCCCTAACTTCACCAGTGGAAGAGGGAATTCAATTACAACATCCATATTCAAAAAATATGTGGAAGGCAACTTGGAGAGGATTAAAAAGACATCCAAAGACAGGAATCAGTTACTTAGTATGTCTGAGGATGAGGTGTTTATGGAACTTATTAGGGATATTGCTACAGAATTGGATGTAAATGTATTGTGTCATAAAATTCTAAAAAATGTGAGTATTTTAACTCGAAGTGATCGTGGGAGCCTATTTTTAGTGCGAGGATCTAAAGAGAATCGATATTTAGTGTCAAAATTATTTGATGTGACAGAAGTGTCCACCATTAATGAGAGCTTACACACAGAGGAGACAGAGATCATTGTCCCATTTGGGAAGGGAATCGCAGGATTTGTGGCACAGAGTAAAGAAACTGTTAACATCAAGGATGCATATGAGGTTATCTAGCTTTTCTTAAGTCTTTTTTATCAAACAGAGCTAGTAGTCCAGTATAACTGTTACACTAATTGTAAAATAAAACAAATGAGAGGGAAGTGATTTTTAAATTACGTAATTATTTTCAATGAATAAAATAGATATGTAACATGTAGGTACCAGTACTATTGATTTTATTCTTTATTTTTCAGGATCCAAGGTTCAACAAGGATGTGGATCAGAAGACCGGCTATCGGACACACAGTATTCTATGTATGCCTATACTGAATTATGAGGGGGAAGTTATAGGCGTGGCACAGATTATCAACAAAGTTACAGGGAACCATGAGTTTACAAAACAAGATGAAGATGTGAGTAATGATGGATATGTAACACACAATACAACATGAAGATGTACATAAGTTTTCATAAGAATCTGTATAAATCACACAATAGAAGATGAAGATAAAAGTAATGAAAGACAGTAAATCACGTAAATCAAGATGAAGATGTCTAGGTTAACAAAAGATATAAATATTGCACTAGTGTCCTTTTGTTGTTAATGCTAATTAGTAAAAAGAAAAATTAGAATTGTATGAGCTAGGTGACACTAACCTTGGATCCTCTGCTCACATTGAACCTATTGTTCAATATTGAACAATAGAACCTTTTGTTAATAAACCTTAATTAATATACTTCTATTCCAATTATATATACTTCTATCCCAACTGACATGATCAACAGTTTACCATACAAATCCAGCACGAAGTTAGGCGGAGGGTCACAAAAAGTAGGCTGGGGGCTGCCTTGAGGCCCCCAGTGGGTCCACAGTGAAGCCCTGGTGGGGGCCCAGGAAACTCCGGGATTCTAGAGATTTTGTAGGGTAAAAATGAGGTCTACTGAGTAGACTTTTTAAAATTTTCTCAACGAAACTATGATTAACACTAACTTTGATAATTTTAGGGGGGCTTGCCCCCCCCACCCCCCACCCCCTGCCACCTCTCTTAAATCTGCCACTGCAAATGCACCACTCAAACAGTTAAGTAAAGAATGGAGCCACATAAAACTGGACTTTTACTTGTGACGTATACTGTAAATATTGTAATGACCTTGTATTATTTTAACTTAAAAAAAGTTTTAATATGATTAAAAATTCAATTGAAGATTGTGATAATTCTTCAATTTATTTAAGATGTTATGAATTCATCTTCCATTTAGCAAAACTTGAGATGTAAATTATTGATGTGGTTTGTAGGTTTTCAGGAAGTACCTCATTTTTTGTGGGATTGGGATAACAAATGCTCAGCTGTTTGAGTTGTCTGTGCAGGAGTACAAAAGAAATCAGGTAAACTCACAAAAATATTATATATAAAAATATATATGTGATTGAACTTAAAAATAGGCTTGCATGAATTATGTTAATAGATGAATTTATGAAGCTTAAGGAAACTTTCATTATGTAAATATGTCATGATATCATGCATTACATCAAGCTCCAGGATCATGAAATAGACTTAAGTCCAATTTTCAATTGGTTGTAAAATGTTGATTAATTATTGAATCAATCTCTAAATTGCAGATAACAACACTTGTGTGAAGCAGTATTAAAAAATATTTTAATTTTGGTCTGCTTGACTTCAACAACATATTAATACACGTATAACATAAAGATTTTGACTTAACGACGACGGAACTAATTCATTTCTGCAATAGATTTTTTATTCAAATTTTGATATGAGGTAATGTGACTTTTGGAGGGTTAAAATCAATAAAAAAAATCATACCTATATGGTCATCGATGTAGATTTTTAATGGGGAGCGTTTCAAAAGTTGGCAATGGAAATCGATAATTACTATAGGAAGTAATGGGAAATTGCCAGTGTAGGGTATAAGAGAGAGCATTGAAAAACATTCTGCAATAGAATTTTTATTCATATTAAAGGACAATGTTAACAAGACAATTTACCAGCAAATTATGCCAAAAATAAATGGGTCATCGGCTTAGATTTTTCAGGGGGGAGGGATGTCAAACTCAGATGTATGGCACATTTTGGGGGAAATTTTCAATGAAAATACCTTGGCCAAATAAATCATTTATTTATAAAATTAACAAATAAATATAAATCGAAATGTTTACAATATTTTTGAATTTAGAGGGAATGTTTGAATATCTTTAAAAGAATTAAAAATGTATAATTTTTATCTTTTGCAATACTTAATGAAGTCAATTTGATTCAAGACATATGCGCAGTTTTCTGCGCAGTGGCGAGAAATTTCGAATTAGGTCTGTCGTCCTTAAGCTTAATTTATTTATGATCATTCATGATCCCCGGGCCAGAGCATGTTGGTAAACAGAGATTTCATGAATATTTATGAGTGAAATATCATGGAAGACCACATCTGACACTGTTTTAACAAATAAAACCTGAAGAACGACCACAATTTTGTGTTGCATTAAACCTTTATGAATTCTATTGCTACACAATTGTATAAATATATTTCTAGGTCTGTTCCTGTTGTAGATACCATATCTAAAGTTCCTCACATCCCTAAATTGCATTATAAATTTACTCAGTTTTCTTTCCCTATTGAATTATAAGATTTTAAAGTTTGTAAAATTTATCAAAATTATATCTTTCATTTGGCCTATAAGAAAAAAAAGCACAAAAAGTCAATTGCAGAATTTATGAAGTTTGTCTTTATATGCACTAATGATACATATTTTTATGTATTACAATTAATTTATCTAAATTTCAATAATGTCACTTGTATACCATTGTCCACTTAAATATCTTGGTCTTAAATTCATAAATGTGCTCTGTATAAGATTTCTCATTTAACTGTTTTTTATATGAGAATTTAAAATTCATGTTTCCTTTATGATTAAAGCTCATGCACTAAAGAATCTTTTCATTAGTCAAGTACATTCATTTATTATTGTTACTGAATGTATTAACAATATGATATATTTTTACAGGGAAATTGTAGTCCCTAGTTCAATGTAATACCGTACACTAAGGTGCTAATGTTGTATTTTTATATAAAATCAAACGAAACCCGTTGTTCTTGTAAAGTCTTGGAGATTGGATGGGTGTATTGAGTTATGTTTGTATGTTTATGGGCTGGTATTGATGTAATGGTAACGATCCATGCTTTCATCTAACAATACACATTTAAAGCCTTTTGCTGTGCATTTATTAGGCAAATGTTTATATATTAGCAAGCATTCGACATGAGCAAACAACAGTGTAGAAAGGTTTCGACTGAAGTAAGGGCTTTATTACAGGGATTTAAATACCTTTATTCACATTTAAACTTCACATATTGTCAAGGTCAAATTTGAAAGTGTCATTTACATATCATATTAAGGCCACTTTCTTTACTGTATCTAAAATACATGTGCTAACATTTGATATCTAATCAAAGAGTTCTAACATTTCACAATCATTTCATCTCATTCACTCAACTTTAAACTAAAACTGTTTAAGCTTCTAATGTATCTTACAACTGTGTAATAAACAGAGAAATTTATTGTTTGCTAATTAAGAGTACAGTAGTACTCTGTGTTTAATTTTAAACTTTTGTGAAGTGGGCTACCTGCACAATGATAATTATTTACTTTTTGAATACGAAAAATACACTTGTAATGAAATAAACTTTGCCAATTTGGTTCCTTTTACAGAAAAAAATCTTTTATTTATTTATTTTGCTGTTGAAGTGATGGTCATATATTTTAATTAGATGTGATATAATTCCACTTACAATGAAGTGAGTGTAAATCCTGTCATCAGAAACTGCCTTAATTTTGTAATTGCCAAAGTTTTAATGTTTTATTGCATCTGTCATTCAAGATAAAGACTCTTTAACACTTGGAGATCATTGAGAGACCTTTATTGATCTCTTAGCAATCTCTGAAAGCCCCTAAAAATCCATTTCTGTGTAAATGTTTAGGGAGATCATTAAATGCACTTGTACAAAAATATTAGGATATTGCCTTAACAGTTTCTCCCAGATTTCTCATCAGTCTCAAAGGTCTCCCAAAGATCTCTCTAAGTTCTCTACCTTATGTTTTTAAAAGTTTTTGCATTCTTCTGAGAAATCATTTGGAGATTCAAGAGAGAGCGATCTTTCTGCATCCTCATATGATCCTTGGCCTTTTCTTTGAGAGATTGCTTACCTTTACAATCATTGGAAGACAGTTTTTGGTAGAGTCAGAACTTTGATCAAAGAGACTGTAGAAACCTCTGGGAGATTATTGAGAGATCAAAGCAATGGTTGACAAACAGAGAAAAACCCTGATCAAATAAGTTTATTAATATAAGTATACTGTATACAGGGTTATTTTCACCCCACCTTATTTTTGCACATTCACCCCTCAAGACAACTTTGCCCCATTTTGAATTCGCCCAGACACAGTTCTATTTAAGAGATAATGCTGTTTTCTTTGAATTTGCCCCGTTTAATTTTGCCCAATTGTGACAAGGCCTAAAGGGGTGAAAATAAAATGGGGCCAAAAATTTCCCTTTAAATACAGTATATTGATAGAACTGATACTGATACTTAATTAAGTTTATGATAATGTTTTAGATTTTGGATCAAGTGATGTACTTTCTTGAATGTACCCAGTTACACCGATTTTCTGTAAAATTCAAGAACTGTGCAATTTCACAAAGCCTGTTTTCCAGCAAGTGGACTTTCAGAAGGAACTTTCTTAGGCTAATAAAAAAAATTTAAAAGTGTACAGTTCCTCAACTGACCCTTATATTATGCGCCAACCCAAATATTTTTTTAAAATCTGGAAATTGACTTTATTTTTTCCTTTAAATGAAACCGTTTATAGGTGGAAAGGACAGTTTTTCGGCTAATGGGACTTAAGGAGATTGTTAAAAAAAATTATGACTAGGAAAAAGAGCTTCAAACTGTCTTTAAAAAGTATTTCAAAGTTATGACTTTAAAAATAATTAATTAAAAATAAAACCAAAATACTGCCTAACGACCCTATTCCATATTAGCCTGTAATTGTAAACATTTTTTTAGGCCTTGTAGACAATGAAAGCATAAATTCTCTATATTGTTATGCCCCCCTTTGAAGAAGGGAGGGCATATTGCTTTGCTGCTGTCTGTTGGTCGGTTGGTCTGTCTGTTGGTCCACCAACAGTTTCCTTTCATCTTCTTTGCAGAGGTTGCACATACTGAAATGAATTTGGTATACAGATTTATCATAAGAATATCTAGGTCAATTTTTGTTTTGGGTACGATTGAGCAATTTTTGACAGAGTTATGCCCCTTGGACTTTGAAAAATTCCAATTATTGGGGGGGGGGGGGGGGGGGCATAAGTGTTTCATTAACATCTCTTGTTTTAATGTTTGAAATAGGACATTAGGTTTCAGTTCATTTATAGGCCTACATTAATTACTGGGCTATGAAGTGAACCTAGCTCTTGCATATTAAAATATTTTCTGTATTTGCAGCTACTGCTTAACCTTGCCCGTGGGGTGTTTGAGGAGCAGACAAGCCTGGAGCGACTGATACAGAAAGTGATGCTGGACTCCCAGGACATGTTGAAATGTGAGCGGTGTACAGTGTACCTTACAGAGGACTCCACCAGCAAGGTACCAACTCTTCACAATTCTCATTGCTTGTTTCTGCTTTATATGTACCAAGTGCACATTATGACAAGAAGTTAAAATTTTTACATCTCTAGCTAAGTGCAGGTTATAAAACTGCATATCTTTTTAGCTTGAAAAGTTTGTAGGATTGCAGTGGATATGTCCTTGGTCTTATTTTTACATAATTTTTGTGTAAAAGATATTTTAACATATATCTGCATTGAACCTTTCTGTTGTTATATTCTACTAATTAACTTTTGCATGTGTTTATTAGCTTATTATTATATTTTAAATATGGCATGATAGCATTACATTTGTGCTATATACATTGATTCATTCCATGATAAACAGAAGTCAATATAGAATTTCACAAGTGTATTATTTGTATATTATTTTTAATATTGAACCCCAAAAGGGGAAGAAATGAAGTCTAGATGTTATACAGTTGGGGAAAAACAATTATATAAATTGATATAATTAAAATTTTCTTTAGCTTTCAATCCTGCAAAATTATATCAAAAGACTTGAGAGCTTTTACAGTTTTTCTAGCATTTTTAGTTTTCCTGGATTGGCAGATTAACACATTGTAAAGTAAACTGAATAGAAATCCTTTAATTTTGGGGGATTTATTTTAAATTTTTAGAATTTGAGCTCTGTTTTGAGTAATTTTCTTTTCGAAGAACAAATGAGCTGACATTGTACAGAGAATGAAATCCTAATTACTATTGCAAGTCACTACTTCAAAACAAAACAAAAAAAGTAATATAGGTTATATAAGCATTAGCATATTGTGCACAAAGTAATTGGTATCATTGCTAATTATAACTAATTTTGGATCACTGTTGATTTGTTCCCTATTTGCATGCAATCCTACTTTCCACTATAGGGTGGGAAAAAGTTGACAGGCATGTTCGCAAAGATTCTCAAGAAGCATTTTTACAAGATACTTGCTTTGGCCGTGCATCAGGTAATAGGGATGCTTATCTGACTCTCATTGATGCTCCATTTATCTCCATATTTCTTCACTGGATCTTTAAGACTTTTTTTCCTTGTCCTAACTGGATAACAATAAATTAACATGAATTCAAATTATAGATCCTAAGAGCCAAGTTTGAATGTAACAACACATATATCTTGTTTATAACTCACCTTCTATACTGGAAGCATGATTGTTCACAATATTTTTTTCTGCTATATTAATAAATTTAACATTTACACTAATTCTCTCATCTAGAAATTAGCTTTAGAATATCAGATTTGTAATATAGAATAGCTAATTGCTTTCATTAAACACTTAATGTGTATACATGTATAAATTTTGCAAATATAAGAAAGTTTCCATCACTCTTGTATTGTAAAAATAATCCACCATGTTATGTGAAGTACTAAAGAATATAAGCATAATTTTTTAAAGTTCTTTAGTTTTACAGATTCTAAAATATCCTTCTATATAGTAAAAACATTGAAATATTATGTTTACAGCTGAAGGAATTAGTGATTGGCCAATATATATAAATTATCCAGACAAACTTATAAATTTTTGAATAACTTTGCTACATAGTAAATGGTAATTGTGAGTGGTTGTTGTTTGAGAATCTTTGTTAGTTATTGTCATACCTGCTGCGCTGTATTTTAGACGTAAGATAGGGGTGTATTCTGTTTGCATGTTGGACCCTCATTGTTGTGTGTCTGGTATTTGTCCACAGGACCCCCTCCTGCATGAAGACAACAACATTACAGTCAAGGCCAAACCTACCTCCACCAAGGTATAATCAGATGAGAATCTTAATATGTGCATAGTCTGTACTCAGTGTTCTTACTTACTCTTAAGGTTGTTCACTCACTCACCAGGCCCAAGGATCACAAAACAAACTTAGACTTAGGTCAAATTTTCAATCGCCTGTAAAATGTTCATTAATTATTGAATTACTCTCTAAATTTGCAGACAACGAGTCTTTTTAAAGCAATATTGAAAATTATTTCAGTTTTGGTCTGCTTGACTACTAGTCAATATTTGAGTACAACATAAAGATTTTGACTTAAGCTTAAGATGTTTCATGAGCCTGGGGCCAGGCCCTTGAGGATCATGATGCAGTCTTAGACTTAAGATTTCAGTCATTTATAAAATGAATATTCATCATAAACTGATACCTGAAAATTAAAATTAGCAATAAGGAAAGGAAATAGATTTTTAAAAAATTTCATATTCTATGAGTTTTTCTACAATAAATTTTTGAGGCAATATGTACAAATTCTGACTTAAGTCTAAGACTGCTCTATGATCCTGGGGCCTGAGTCGCATAAGTTAAAAAAAAAAAAAGCAGAATTCATAAAATGTTTATTTCAAACTATACAGAGTTGAGAACTTATATGAAGACATCTCCAAATCGAGTACTATAGTATCATGCTTGTGTAACTGCAAAGAACATGCCTCAAATGAAAGGACATTTTTGAAACTAATAGGTCTTAAGTTTCACAGAATTTAATTTTTTTCAAATTCAAGCAAATTAATTATTTAGGTAAAACTTAATATTATTTCTATATACTTTAGAAAACTATATTCATAAAATTACATTTAGTCCCAATCACTATCATTCGCTAGGTTATTTTTTTCCTCAAAGGAATTTACTCCAGAAACATTTTATATACCTACCACTCTCTAAGTTTGTTATGCAGAAATAAAGAATCAAAATATGAAAAATATTATTTGCATGTATCACAGTATTTTGTTGATAACAGTTCTATATGATTTAGAATTTGTTATAATGTCTATTGTTGATTAAGATATCTTATCACTGGCATCAGCTTTTAAAAAAAAGTTTGGCCAGAATGTCAAAGAAGGTACAGTTTCAGTACAAATCTGGCCTTATCAGAGGTGATATATACCTTAAAAACTTATTTGCATACAGTGTACCTTACTGAATTTACCTTTCTGCTTTACCAAAAGATGAAGGTTATTTCTTCATAATATGTTACTTACATAAGTTTCACATAAAGGCTAAATTTTTTATAATTCAATCTTTATAATTCATGACAAGGAAAATGGAGTGATACTTTTTTTGTGCTTAAGAATAATATTTTTGTACTGTATAAGTTCCAATAATTTAATTCTGATTGTAACGTGCCATTTGATTGGATAAAAAATTTACTTTATATCGTATAAATTGGGTTGCCTACGTCACAATGAAGTCATTTTTTAAAGTCAGTCATCTTTTTTCGTACACTAAATGAATGGAAATTAAATTGTAATGAATGAAATTAATAGCTACCCAATTTATACGGTATAAAGTGGGTTGGAACAGTTTACACTTTTTTTATAAACCGCTTCGCGGTTTATAAAGCGTAAACTGCCCCAACCCACTTTATACCGTATAAATTGGGTGGCTATTAAATTCATTCCTTAAGTAATTTAAAATTTGCTATAATTTAAAGATATAAATCTCATAATTGTAATAATATTGATTTGAAATTGTTTTGGTATTTTGGCACATTTTCAATGCATTTTTTGTAAAATTGATGCTGTCAAAAATCAGTAGCTAACTATTTTAGCATTTTAAACCTGAACAATCTGTTTTTAAAACCTAAAATTTATAAATAAGTGACAATGAAAAGAATGATAAAGTTTTTAAAGAAATAAAATTTCAGACATAGGCCCCACTTTAATTTTTTTATAAAGAATATTAACCAGTATGAATCTAAAAGCATTAAATTTACTTGAAATATGTACATGTATTTCAGCTATTTCTCAAATAAATGAAAGTCAATTTGAAAAAAGAATGAAGTTAGAGCATGTCAGTTTTACTCTGCAGGTTTATAGAATTATTTTGCATGAAATGATAGTCTACACAGCACAGTTGTAATTCTAACCTCAAAAATATTTATTCACCATACTTTTTTTTTTGCTTGGGGCAGGGGATGGGGTATTTAATATTAATATATGATTTTAACATGCAAATACGTGTATATGCTTCATTATCAGTATAATATTGGAGATTGTCACTTTAAGAACTTTGTATTTCTGGTCCTCACTTTAACCTGTAGGATTTCTCAGAGCATACATTATTTAATTGTTGCTCATTTTCTTTCTAAGAAAATCCAACTATAATGCTTTCCTCTTTTCAGGATGTTTTATTTTCCATGGCATTTGATTTATATGCAAAAGACGGAGGCAATATCAGAATTCCTAGGTAAGGTCTTACTAGTAATCACCAGGAAAAAGGTCAATATTGTGTGATCATGGTCTTATATTACTCCTTAGAAATATCAGAAGTTTGTTAAATGATGCTGTTTATTCCAATCCTGACAAGGATTATGTGTCATTTCTCTTGTGATAATTCTGTGCCATTACCTGATTAAATAACTCCCTGGTTACCCTGGCAATTCAAGCAGCCATACTCTATAATGAAATTGCAATAACAGTATTACAATGAAATGTTTTAAATAAGATGCTGAATCACATACATAGAAAGGATTTAGAGTGCCCAGATTATTATGTATCATGTTCTTCCATTAAGGAGGAAGCTAGCACATCGTGACTTTTTGACCCCTGTTTCAGTTGTGATTAATGGATAGGGTGTATATATATATATATATATATATATATATATATATATATATATATATATATATATATATATATATATATATATATATATATATTGGATGTTTTGAAGAGACCTGATACAGTTCATTCAATGCAATCAACCTCTTATAATTATTGAGTTATACCTGAACATGCATATGTTAGTAGCAATATCTTTGAAACATTTTCATTCTTTTTTTCTTTTTTCCTTTAAAAAGGAAATCTTGTTTTTATATTCATATGAAGCAGAGTTTATTAAGAAAAAAAACTTTCAACATGAAAAGATTCAAGTCTCTTGCTGTGGCATTGATGACAAACTGACTACTCTATGATTAACTTGATGACTCCAACTCTACTATCATTAACTTCACCTAAGTATGTAGCAATATACCATTATCACCTGCTTTTGAAGTTTATGTCTTCCAGTTGAATTTGTACACAAGAGCATGTTCTACGTATGAACAATTTTTTTTAAAACAAGGCAGACTGTTGACAAATAGGTTGATGATACTTAAGAAATAAGATATCATTTTTAGAGTTTCATTGGGATATGACATGAAGTTGGTCACATGATCAAATCCTATAATGCCCAAAGGTCATTATAGTAGATTTGATCACGTACCAACTTCATGTCATATCCCAATGAAACTCTTAAAAATGATATTTTATTTCTTATGTTTATATTCTATACTTTCATTCGTGTTACAAAGAAAAATACGCTCTATTTAGACTTCGTTATGAAAATGCAACATAACATACCTACAATGTCATGTGACTTTCAGTCGAAACTATCCAAATGGCTCGCACAGTTTACTTTCTATACACAAGAAAGTTTGATCACATAATCAACTGCATGTCATTGAAAATTGAATGTCAATTTAATTTGTATCGTCATATAAGGAAAGACATTTGCCAATGTAAATATAAGGATATCAACAATCTCATCTAAAGTCCACATGAAATATGGAGGTAACGAACAGTATTCAAGCTCAAAGTTCATTAAAACAATACAAATTGGAAGCAAAGCAAACATGACCTCCAAAAATATCAGAGGTGAGATCAGGTGCCATGGAGGAGTGAGCATCCCCTGCTGACCAGTCACACCCGCCATGTGCTCCTTGTCATGATTGGGAACAAGGTCATTGTATCAACCATAAAACTTGCAAAATAATGACTTCAAACAAGACTGTATATTTTGTTTCATCAACTTGTTTGCCAATAGCTTACCTCAATTTAGAAATTGTTCATACCTATAGCATGCTCTTGAATATCGAATCAACTGGGAGACAAAAACCCCATATGCAGGTGACAAGGGTATATTGCTATTTTGCATTTTCGCAAATTCTATGATCCATACTATGACATTGTTTGCAAATACAATCTGTCTATGTGTAATGTTGACTGACGTTTTTCATAGACATTGTTAGGTTGTTATTTTAACACTGAATTGTCTGTGTATTATTCTGTTTACCTGCTCATGACAAGGCAGGTGTGACTGGCTGTTTGACGGGGAATGTTTACTCCTCCATGGCACCTGATCCCACTTAGATGCCCATGTTCCCTCTGCTCATAATTTGTATTGTTTAAATGGACTTTTAAGAATGATCACTAAACATTATCTTCTAATTTTATTTTTTAATCTTTCTTTATCAGGCTAGAAAATAATCTCAGCTGAGATTTGGCTCGGCTGGATATTTGGACTGATGCCTTTCAGGTGAGCCAAATCTCAGCCGAGAGCATTCAGAGGCCAAAAAAGAAGTGTCAAGCTGAAAGCTGCATATTATCTCCCTTCCAGTCATGTCTTAATCCAGACCAGTTTAAGTTGTAGAGACTACTGGTTGGACTTTTGGTTTAGAATCCTGACTGGTAGACTTTTTTAACAGAATTATCTAACATAAGTTATCTGTTTTTCTTTCAGTGCTGCAGAAGTGGCGAAGTCAAGGAATGCCGAGATAGCTCGACATGTGGTGCTGAAGGGAACACCACTCAATATTTCTGAAATTGAAATAGACAAATTGTTCGGCAAAGGAGTGGTAAAATTTTTTACAACCATCTCGTTGAAATGGCATAAATTTTTTTCCCCCATATTTAGCTTTTTGTATATGATTGTATGAAGCTTTTGATAAAACTTTTAAGTCTAAGTTTTGTATTGTTCAGAATGATACAATCTTCAAAAATTATATTTCAATTTTTTTTTGCTGAATTGTTCTAATTCCCTGAAATCTGGCTAACTTAGTGCATGTATGTACACCTTTTTTTTTTTTATCTGATATAAAAAAATTAATATTACATATTTGACTTAAAGGAATTTGAGGATGAAGGATTTAAAACCAAAAATATGCTGTGTATGCCAATTTTTAACAATGAAAAGAAAATCATCGGTGTTACCCAACTAGTCAACAAATTAAATGGTGTTCCATTCAATGAGAATGATGCAAATATAATTGAGGTAAATATTTCACAAAGGGATCAGCATTAATTTGATAGTAAATTCTTATGATAACATTATATATAATGTGACACATAAAATATACCTTGAAATAATTATCATTTCCAAAAGTTTCAAGTAATTATTGCTGTTGTTTTTATCCTCTTAAAGTTATTGCAAATCAAATCCAGCAACAACTGAGTTATTTAATTACCACATATGAAATTAAATGCAACACAATTTCTAATAAGAAGTTATTCTAGAACAACTTTTATTTATTTTTCAGGCTTTTTCTATTTTTACGGGACTTGGTATTCATAATTGCCAAATGTATGAGAATGCCTGTCGGTTGATGGCCAAGCAGTCGGTGGCTTTAGAAGTTTTATCCTATCATGCCACCGCTCAACAGGAAGAAACAGACAAGCTAGTGGTAAGATGTGTCTTATTGACTTAATATCATACTCATAAATTGTCAAACCAGTTTTTTCTTCAGATTCAATTGGTTTGATTGACTTCACCCAGCAGTTGTCAGGATTCTTCATGAAGTTTAAAGTAGATGTGTTGTAATTGATGAAATGTTCAAGTTACAACTTTGTCAGAATTTGCCACAAATTTTTTTCTGATCACAAGATATTATAAGTTACATAATTTTGTAGTGAATGGGTATGGGATAATACCTCATGGTCAGTAAATTTTCTACATAGTGAGGCAAAGCTGAGCCAGCTAGGTTTGAAATGTACTAACCAGGTATCATCACCTACACATTACATAACTATTTAATGAATTTACCCCACCTATGACATAATTATATTCAGGCGACCGTTTCACTAACAGATCGTAGCTCGTAAACGTAGATGTAAATGTGAACGTAGCACGTAAGTTCGTTTCACTAAGAGTTACGATTTGCGAGTTACGATTAAAGTTGATCGTAAGTCTACGAGTAGTCAGGGGCACTCTTTAGATACTTACGTGCAAGTAATTTCATGAAAAAAAGCAACACAAAACAGAAATATAAGCAAGATTCCAAAAGATTGTCACTTTTAGTTTTCTACTGTCTGCTTTCCTTGCAAGTAAATTGTGAAGATTGAGTCCGATCTTAAATACACGCTAAAACATACTTGCAAAGAAAAAATTGTTAAAAGTTTAATATTTCTTTTTTGAGCTTATCTATTCACAATTTTTATTTCAAAATAATACTCGTGTATTCTATAATGAAACCCTGTGCACATTCAATCATAATGGCATCTTTATTTTTTCTTTATTTTATTAGAAAAATACAATGCACATAAATATGACATATTACAAACATTTGCAGAAAAATTCAGCTTAGTGCGCTCATTAATTTTCGATAAAAACGCTTTGTCCACGATTTGACAACCCTGGTATATACAAAAGACGCCGATGGCCGGTTGTTGGATGAGGGCCTGCTCTAGACTCAGTGTTGCGTCAATTTACAGATTTGAATTTTTAATTTTGTTCATAACTTGGAAATTGTGAAAATAATTTATTTTGCCTCAGGGTATATCATGTATTCCGAGTGCAAAGATTTGCACGGGATATCGCGCGATATTGAGCGATAGATAGTTTGATAACACCTTTACGTAGAGATTTGTGTATGAATATACAGTCCAAAGAATATAGTGAGTAAGGCAGTTGCTCTCTGAGAAGTGGTTGAAGCAGAAAAACTATCGAAATAATACATATTAATATAGGCAGGGATCTATATACTAAGTATATACGTCCATGATAAAAGTAATTCATTTTTTAAAATACTTTGACAAACCTGCATATGGGGAGTATCGACAATATTAAAAAAAACAAAAAAACAATATCATTTAAAAAATTCAATAATGAAAGTAGAATTAAATAAATAAACATACCAAGTTTAAAAATGATTAGTTTTTGAACAGAAACAGGAAACAAGGCAGAGGATCGTCTAAAGTTCTAAACATTCGGAAAACTTTGTTTTCAAATGTTTAGATATACATGTACGAGTGTGTCATAAATTTGCAATTTTAGCTTGAAGTAAAATGAAACGTTATATACCATCGTGGGCTATACTTGTTAATTATAAGACATAAAATGCAAGAATAAATTTAGATAATTGATATGTATAATTTGATCCCGGTGAAAAAGGAACTTTCATTTAATATATATTATAAATATAGATATATACTTTTTTTTTTAGTAAACGATTTTCCATTAATTAATTGTCCTTTTATTTCTTTTTGAAGACTGAGAAAAATTCATGGTGATTTTTTTTTGTTATGATCTTTTCCTTTCTTTCGTTCTTTTTTTCTTTCTTTCTCTTCAACAAATACACCTCCTCAGTCAGAAGAGTTCCAATAAGTTGGTCGTAACTCGCTTATCGTAAGTGATACGTCTACGAAATGTTTTGTGAAACGCTCGTATACGTTCACGTAAAATAATCGTAAACATAATCGTACGTTTACGATCTACGATTTGTTAGTGAAACGGTCGCCAGGTGTCCATGTTTTGTAAAAAATTTTCTACCAGCTTTATTGTTTCTTCATGCCCATGCAGTGCCTATTACAAAGTCACATTGTGCTTCAATCGTTATATTGTTTTGTGAGTTTTCCATGCAGTTATAATGTACAGACAGTTTTTAACAATTTTAGTAAAGAGAGAAAAAGGTTCCATAATTTGTGCATGTTACTGATGTTAGTTCACCTTTTAATTATCAACAGTCACTCAGCAAACCTCCTGTCCATTGACAATTAAAAAGGAACTTGGATTGCTCTAAATGTTACAAAAGACTTGTAACTCCATAATTTTCTAATGACTGTGTATAAGTAATATACTCCCTTTATGTGACAGCTAGACTTCAACCAATTGTAAGCCAGGATGTCAAAGAAAAAACAACAGAGGTATGGTAATGTTATTTTTTATGACATTTATGGTATATACTTCTTTGTTAAATCCTAGGTTAGCCAGCTTCCCTCTGGTAAGGACATTGGTCTGTATACATTTGAGTTCAATGACATTCCTCTGGATGAACTAGAGACTGCCAAATGCACCATCACGATGTTTACGGAGGCCAATCTCTTGTCAGAATTCAAGATTCCTCTAGAAGTATGTTAGGATAATGAATCGGGATTCTTTTTATATATTGCAAAATAGAATGTTTAATTTTTGCTCTGACAACTGCATGATGAGAAAAGTCATGGGATTTTTTTTCTTTTAGGTGATGTGTCGTTGGACATTAAGTGTGAAGAAAAATTACAGACCAGTGACATATCATAATTGGCGACATGCTTTCAATGTTACTCAGACAATGTTTACTATATTATATGTAAGTAAACAGACATTAATTTGACAGAATTTAGGCCAGATAAAATTGAAATTACAGTTCTCAGTCTAATTTTCTTTAAAACAGGTGAGCTAGGGTAGGAGGTTTTTTTTCTTTTTATCCATGATAAATTATATGCAGGAGGCATTTTTTAATTCCAGAATCTTTTATAAAATTGATAAAGAAAATTCTTTCTTCATAATTATACTGGTATCATTATGTACATGTAAATATATTTAACGTCATTTAAAGAACTACGCATGGTAACTCCCGATTCCCGCCTACATTTTACAACCATTTAATTCAATATTGATGACAATTTGGCCATAAAATCTTTGTTTAATACAAAGAACAGTTCAATGGTAATTGATTAATTATTTAATTCCAGTGCTAAATAGTAAAATATCCCTAATTCCAGCTCTTTAAATAAGGGGGGTAGACGATATTTTCCACTGAAATCGGGCTATAAAGCATCACCACATTCTGAAATAGTCCTGGATATGAATAAATGTTTCTTAAATCTTTTCTTATGTTTTATGCATAGAAAATTAAGCATATATATTAGTAAAATATAATGTTTCAGTTGTAAAGCACTTGGAAATTGCTAGAAAAATAAGCATTTTTGTCGTTTTTTGTATATAAACATATGTTCCCCCCCCCCCCCCCCCCCCGTGAAACACAAAAAGCTTTGGTATGAATTTGTGAAATGACAGTACATATTACCCGTAAAAAGGAATTTTTGTTTCACGGGGGGGAAAGATGTTTTAAAAATATTTTCCGTTTTCTGTTGATTTCTATAGTGAAAAACACGAGTTTTACCAAAATTTTAGAGTTATCTCTCGTTGTTTTCCTAAAGAAGTAATGTTTTATGAAAATCCATATAAATATCAATATAAATATTAAAAATCATTCGAATATCTTAACTTTTGAAAATTGACTTGGAGGTAGGCGGGAGAACAATACTATCGTTCGCAGTTCTTTTCCTAATAGATGCATTTTTCCCATTTTTTTAATGACAAAGTGTCCATATCATTGTTCACGCTTATGCAAAATGGCTACCAGAAACAAAAATTGAGTCCAAAACTATGAAAAAATGAGGGCAGAATTATTTTTCCTAGATTGATCTTTGCATTACCAACTTTTCATTTTATTGATAATACGGGGGAAAAATTTCTTTGCAGCAGGCCCAGGAACCATAATTTTATTTTTGGTTTATTTAGCCTTAAAGATATTTGGATATATCAGATAGTAGCATATCTAACAGCATAAAATATGCATTTTATATTTTTTCTTAGACTGGAGGAATGATAAAGAAATTTGATTCACTGGAGGTGCTAGCCCTACTTGTTGGTTGTTTATGCCATGATTTAGACCACAGAGGAACTAATAATGCATTCCAAGTCAAGTAAGGTGCAAGCTGGAACTCCAGCAACTTGTAGAACTTCTAATTTTATATATATATATATATATATATATATATATATATATATATATATATATATATATATATATATATATATATATATATTTACAGTTAAAGTGTCAGATTTCTCCTCCCATTTTGATAATTCAGGTGACAACTGTAGAGTACTGTCTGTTCTTGTCTGTCTGTGTAAATTTGGGGCCTGCAGGTCCCCCTCTTTTTTTCCAAGCATAACCATGCTTTTACTATTAAAAATGATCATTGTAAGGTTGGCTGCCCCTACCCCCTTACTTTCTGTAGTAGCATAGTTAAATCATGGTAAATTGGTAATTTATTAATAAAGGATCATTCTCTATAAGGCCGTTTTGTGGCCTACAATGACTTCAAATTTTCAAATAGTATTTTTTCCCTTAAAAACTGCATGAGTCAGTAGGCTAATGTTCCAATTTAATGATAAATGTTGATTGGTTATTGATACAAAAGTATTTGTTATGATATAGGGTCACAAAGTAAGGTACTATCGGTCCGTATTAGCATTAGGGTAATGGGAAAACTCAAGAGGGTTGGTGTGTTAGGTAACTCCTACACATGTCATAACCACCTTTAACCAACACCAAAATTTGCATGTAAACTTCTTATGAACATAAAAAGTGATTACCAAATTATCAACTTGGTTAAAGGTGGTTATGACATGTAAATAAAAACTTTTCGCTTCATTTTTACGATATTTGCAGGAAAAGCTAACTACTTACAATGAAGGATATCAGCTTCTGTAGATTATTTCTTATTATAAACTTCCACTTAGAGTACATGTTTCTATTGATTTACTAAGAATTTATATAAGCCATGCATGTTTACTCAAAAAAGGTAAACTTTTTACTTAAAAAATCTAAAATCAAAGGACTGAAATGACTGGTTGTTATAAAATTACGTGAAGACAAGTCTCATTGAACTATCTGCTAGAAATAAAGAAATTTTTTATAGACTATAAGGCATGAATATAAGTTACTTATTATAATTATATTATTTATAAGGATAGTTTAGTTTATCTATGCTACTTCTTTGTATTTGTATTTCCTTAGGAGTACTGCATATTTGTTATTAGTTCTAGAAATGATAAAAGCTATTTTTGTTGTAGCGGGAAGATGCATTTGCTATTTGTGTTATAAACTTAATTTTTCTATGGGTACACATGTAACTTTTATAGATAGAGAATTACTGATGGGATGGTTTCATAATGGAAATTCTCGCCTCGACCTTTTAGAAGGACACTTTTCCGTATGAGTGATATAGGATCCATGTATTTTGTTAACTGGGTGTTGAGAGGACTCAATCTATTCATCACACTTCTTTGGTAGCATCAATATAAGTTATGAGAACAGTAGTTCTGTCTTCGAAAATAAAAGGCCAAGGAGGAAAGGGGTTCCTAAATGTCACGTGATTGATAATTGAATGTTGCTTTACGTCATTTTAGAATTTTTCACCCAGATAAAGAGATCATCCACTTAAGGTGAAGTGTCACAATTTTGATTTATGCATGGTTTCAGTATTGACCAACACCTACCGTGGGACAGGACCTCCTTCTTTAAGATAATATCCAAGAGACCCATGACTTTTACTTTCAATGCTGAGGACTTAGCAAAGGAACTGTCACTACCCGTGTTAAACACCTTAGTTCTTGACGCAGCACGGAAAGAGAATTTAATTCTTAGGTTTCAAGAGTGCGAAAGGAGTGTCATCTCTTACGGTCCAATTTGTACCTGGGATGTTGTAGAACTCTGTTAGTCCATGGATATACTAAAACTTCTGATATGCGTAGTGGAAGGAACTGTTGAAAATCTACTCCATTTTATGGAGTGCTGGGGGGGGGGGGGGGGGCTCGACTTTTATACATACATTTGTGTATTATAGTTAAGATAGCATTTTAAATTAAATATATTGTTTTACATGCGTAATTAAATTGAATCAAATCAACTCTTACGATGTTATTTCATTTTACGTCGATATATATATTTTTAATACAACCGTTCTGAGTTTTATGTACTGACTATAAACATGTACTTGCATTAATATTTTCATCCTGTAAATTAATGAATTCTTTATTTTTTTTTTTTTGCAAATGTAGACTATATTTTATAAATTACAACTTAATTTTGATTTAATCACAAACAAAATTCATTCATTGCTTTAAAGCGACAGTACGGCTGCAAAATGTGTGCTTTTTCATTCAAATTTACCCAATATGTCATTAAGAAATAAGGTATAAAGTTTATGTAAGCAGTTTGAGAAACAGAAATATTCTCTACTCAAACAAAATTAACGTAATTAGAATCTGCCGGAAAATCAAGGGTCGTACGAACTGGAGCAATCTTAGATCTGTTTATTTGTACCACATGAATTCTAAAACGGCACGTGCCTACACTGTAGAGTTTACAATTATAATGAATATTAGGTAAAAGCAATTTTCAAAAACAAATTATCATAACTTTCTGATAAAATAATCTAAAATAATAATCGTGAAGATTTTAGTCTGCATTCAGGCAAATTTAACAGAATTAAAAGTACAAATGTTGACGTTTTGTGTATTGGGGTCAGAGAAAGGAAAAACCAACTGATCATACGTTATCGCGGCAAATGTCAAACAAAATATTTTTCTGCACAGTTAAAAAAAATTAGCATTTCAAATGGCAACAATGTTTATAAGTCAAAGGTGTATTTTTATGTTGAGTTAACACTATTTTTTTCTCTGAAAGCGATGGAAAAATGAGAAATGATAACAAGTATCAACAAACCTGTCGAATAGAACCTTCGAGAGCCCTGCGTGAGTGTCGCCGAGTTCCCGTTTCTTCCTTATCCAGCGACTATATTAATCCCCAAACTAAATTTTAGTAAGGAAAGTTGCTTTTCAAGTTCTTTTTTCAGTTTCTTTTTATTTTTGGTCGACTTTGTCAACGTAGCAGGCCTACCGGGCTTCCCTCTCTAACCATGCTGTTTTGTTTATGAAAACAACGCAGGCGTGCATAGCATGGAATGTGGAACCCCGAACACGTTGCTATGTATATATTTACGTCCCATAAATAACTATTAATTTTAATGAAATAATCCAAATTATTTAATTGTAAAAGTTGTAATTTTCTGAAAGTTTGTACTTTTATGAGTTGTAAAAAAATTCCAAATCTTGTCGGAAAATTTTATCAAGTCAGTTTTTTGATGAGATGCGCAGTACTGTCACTTTAAACATTTGATACACAACTTTTATAGTTCAAAAGAAACTTAGAAATCTCATGTCTTGCATGGGCATTTTATGCGTAAAATAGGTACCACATCTATAGAAACAATACACAAGTACAATATAAACATATATGAAATAATACTTTTAATTAAATGCTAATTAAACATTTTTCAACATCGTACGAGGTGCATTTTGTAAAGATTTACATTCAAAATATGCAAAATGTGAATGCATCAAATTCTTGCCATAAAAAAATATCTTTAGCCTTTAATTAAACAATCTTTGCTTTTATTACTTAAGTCTGATATGTTTCCGACATAAATAAACAATTTCTGATCATTTACATCTAGAAACATGCATGAAAACTTGAGGTAAATAGACCTATCCTCAATTTTTCTTTACTTGACGGCCGTATGTGATCTTTAAATCATGCGACTTAGGTGATCGATGTTGAAAAACAAACATCAAAATCATGAAATATAATGATTAAAGTTACATAAAATCACATTTTTAAGTGATTTTATCGTAGGCCAGAAAATGGCCTTATAGAGAATCATCCTTTAGTTGTGAAAGGAAGTTAAAAGGTATACATTATAAAATTGGGTAGTGAAAGGAAGTTTGGACATCTATCCAGAAAATAGTTTATGTGTTTAAGATGAGCATTTTCTCTATACCAAACATAAGTTCCTGTTCCAGGGGTTCAGGCTCAGATTGGGAACAAGTTATTTATAAATTTTAAAAAACTCACTGGATATATTAATACCTTAATTAATTACTCAGACTGCACATTTATATAGGAGGACACTTTTTGCATGATAATGTAAGCAGTTACCAATCAACCACAGTTTTGGAATTCATCACCTTGAAGTTCAAGATCAGGGCTTTAATTCAAAAACATTAGAAAAAGGTGTTACTTTTACAATTATAGGAGGTATAACCCTGTGGAAGGGATTCTGATTAAATATGGTATTGAATTTTTCTCTATCAAACATTTTGGCCGGTACAATCATGATTTCAGCCAAGTAAAATACCCAGTACTGTCAGATTTTGAAAGGCCTGCAAGAGCTTGGAAAGCAGAGAAACTACATGCCTTTTGATAATAAAGCTGGTATTTTGTACCAATTTAATAGTAAAAATACACATTGATGGAGCTATAGAATGGTCACAAGTTGAAATACTGATGATACTCACTAGTTACATGCATTCTAGGCTGATGTTCTTGTTCAGTAATAATTGTTTTGCTATTTCTTTGTATTATGATCATTTATAAAATGCAGAATTTTTGTTTTGTCTGAAACAGAGTGGCTTCCCCTTTAGCAATGCTCTACAGTACATCTGTTATGGAACACCACCATTTTGATCATTGTATTATGATTCTGAACAGTGAGGTATGTCCAGCATTTACTGTTTTACAATTAGTTCACAGTATTCCATTTACAATTTTAAAAAGTATGTTTTATGATTATTGATAATTGGTGTCCCTTCAGAAGAGCGTCTGTATTTGTCTGTGTCCAACTGTCCATACAATGCATGTTTACATGTCTGTCCTGTAAAGTTTCATAATTTGGATAAATTTCTAATTTCCATGTATGATTTAGCCATGGTAACAAATTGAAAAAGAAAAAACAGAACAAACCATTAATCATGATTGAAGAACTTTAAAATATTTCAAATTACTCAAGTGTTGTTAAATGTTGCTTCTTTCTGTCTTATTTATATAATAAAGAAAACATTGTCACTTTTCAGAGAAAAATGTAAAAGTAAAACATAATGATATTCTCTAGCTGTTAAACTTTTTTCCCTGAATTATTGGTAGAGCTACAATCTCACAGGGACTTCCGCTTTCATTTGTTTTAGGGAAATAACATTTTCCAATCACTATCACCTACACAGTACAGAAATGTAATTAAGATGTTGGAGCATGCTATTCTGTCTACAGACTTGGCTTTGTATTTCAAGTAAGATTTCTTCAATCAGTGTATAACATTTTCAAAAAATTAAATATTTGGAAGTGAGAGATTTTGATTGTAGTATTTAATCATCAACACAAACCCTTGCTTATAATGAAACATTAACATTTCAATTTCAATTTTTTTTTTATCTTAGCTTTTCTATATATAGCAGAAATTATTTCTTCCTTAATCTGAGTGTATTTTCATTACAATACAGAAAAAGAGGTGACTTCCAGAAGCTGGTACAGGAAGGAGAGATGGAGTACCAAGAGCCGTACAAAAAAGATTTACTGAAGTAAGTGTAGAGCAATACAAAGAGCCATACAAAAAAGACTTACTGAAGTAAGTTTAGAGCTGTACAAAGAGTTGTACAAAAAAGATTTACTGAAGTAAGTGTAGAGCTGTACAAAGAGTTGTACAAAAAAGATTTACTGAAGTAAGTGTAGAGCAATACAAAGAGCCATACAAAAAAGATTTACTGAAGGAAGTGTAGAGCAATACAAAGGGTCGTACAAAAAAGATTTACTGAAGTAAGTGTAATGCAATACAAAGAGCCATACAAAAAAGACTTACTGAAGTAAGTGTAGAGCTGTACAAAGAGTTGTACAAAAAAGATTTACTGAAGTAAGTGTAGAGCAATACAAAGAGCTGTACAAAAAAAAAGATTTACTGAAGTAAGTGTAGAGCTGTACAAAGAGCCATACAAAAAAAGATTTACTGAAGTAAGTGTAGAGCTGTACCAAGAGCCTTACAAAAAAGATTTACTGAAGTAAGTGTAGAGCTGTACAAAGAGCCATACAAAAAAGATTTACAGAAGTAAGTGTAGAGCTGTACAAAGAGCCGTACAAATAAGATTTACTGAAGTAAGTGTAGAGCTGTACAAAGAGTTGAACAAAAAAGATTTACTGAAGTAAGTGTAGAGCTGTACAAAGAGCCATACAAAAAAGATTTACTGAAGTAAGTGTAGAGCTGTACCAAGAGCCATACAAAAAAGACTTACGGAAGTAAGTGTAGAGCTGTACAAAGAGCCATACAAAAAAGATTTACTGAAGTAAGTGTAGAGCTGTACAAAAAGATTAACTGAAGTAAGTGTAGAGCAATACCAATAGTCATACAAAAAAGATATACTGAAGTAAGTGTAGAGCTGTACAAAGAGCCATACAAAAAAGATTAACTGAAGTAAGTGTAGAGCTGTACAAAGAGTTGTACAAAAAAGATTTACTGAAGTAAGTGTAGAGCTGTACAAAGAGCCATATTAAAAAGATTTACTGAAGTAAGTGTAGAGCTGAACAAAGAGTTGTACAAAAAAGATTTACTGAAGTAAGTGTAGAGCTGTACAAAGAGTTGTACAAAAAAGATTTACTGAAGTAAGTTTAGAGCTGTACAAAGAGTTGTACAAAAAAGATTTACTGAAGTAAGTGTAGAGCTGTACAAAGAGATGTACAAAAAAGATTTACTGAAGTAAGTGTAGAGCTGTACAAAGAGTTGTACAAAAAAGATTTACTGAAGTAAGTTTAGAGCTGTACAAAGAGTTGTACAAAAAAGATTTACTGAAGTAAGTGTAGAGCTGTACAAAGAGTTGTACAAAAAAGATTTACTGAAGTAAGTGTAGAGCTGTACAAAGAGCCATACAAAAAAGATTTACTGAAGTAAGTGTAGAGCTGTACAAAGAGCTGTACAAAAAACACTTACTGAAGTAAGTGTAGAGCTGTACAAAGAGCCATACAAAAAAGATTTACTGAAGTAAGTGTAGAGCTGTACAAAAAGATTAACTGAAGTAAGTGTAGAGCAATACCAAGAGTCATACAAAAAAGATTTACTGAAGTAAGTGTAGAGCTGTACAAAGAGTTGTACAAAAAAGATTTACTGAAGTAAGTGTAGAGCTGTACAAAGTCAGGTTATATTATACAAATATTGACTGGGTTTGAGGGCAACATTGATAATGTTAGCCTCCAAGGGATAAAATATTGCCCAGTGTAGAGCAATAGGCATTATTTTCATCCCGAGGGGGCTTACAGAATCAATGTTCCCCAAAACACTGTCAAATAATGCTCATGAATAATCAATTATGTTGACTGTTTCTGTATAAAGATACTATTTTTTTTTTTTATGATCCCATAATCAAGAAGATTTGGGGCATATAGTTTTTGTCTATTCATCTGTCTGTTTCTCTGCAAAACTTTAACCTTGCCCATAACTTTTGAATGGTTTGTGCTAGGGCTTTTATATTTCACCTGTGTATTCCTTGTGACAAGATTTTTCTTTGGGTAACAAACTATTTGACCTCTTGACCTTGACCATTGAGTGTGACCTTTTGCAAAATTTTAATAAACTTTAACCTTGCCCTTAACTTTTGAATGGTTGGTGCTAGGGCTTTCATATCGCATTTATTTATTTCTTGTGACAGGACCTTTCTTTTGGTTCAAACATTTTTTTGACCTCATGACCTTGATCTTGGAGTATGGCACACTTTTGAAAAACTTAAGCTTGGGCCATGTTTTCAAATGGTTGGTGTTTGGACTTTCACATTTCACATGTGCAATCCTTTTGACAAGACCTATCTTTGGGTACCAACATTTTTGAACCCATTTGACCTACATTTGAAAAACTTACCTTAGCCTTGAGCTGAAACATGGGGATATAATTGTTTCCCAAACACATTTTGTAACTGAATATAAAAATGTTGTACGTTAGTATATAATATTCCCTTGTGTTTGTAGAGCTATGATGATGACTGCATGTGACGTAGCTGCCATCACTAAGCCATGGGAGATACAAGAGAAGGTTGCTCAGTTAGTGGCAAATGAATTCTTTGAACAGGGTGATAAAGAAAGAAGTGAACTGGGAGAAACCCCTATGGTTGGTTGAAATATGAGGGTTAATCACTTTTATACTGCAATCATTAACTTGTAAGTACCAGCATCTATAACTATTGATGACTTTTTAGGCAATGATGGATAGAGAAAAGAAAGATGAACTCCCTAAAATGCAAGTTGGATTCATTGATGCAATTTGTCTTCCAATATACAAGGTCTGTTGAATGAAGAATACTCTACGTCAATTAATGTACCAAAATTCAAAAGCTTTATAAAGATTTTTCCAATAAACTATTAATAAAATTAAGAAATAAATAAAAATATCCCAGTGAGATATAAAAATATACCATTGAGATATACTCATATTTATAGTTTATTTAATTTAATCATAATATATATATATATATATATATATATATATATATATATATATATATATATAGTTGCTTAATTTTCCTTTTTAACATTTTATATTTAACAGAAATGGATAAAAATTTCTGTTTATAAGGTGTAATTATTTTCCTCAAAGATTAACACTGAGCTAAAATTTCTTTGATTTTGTATAAAAACAGGATGGAAAGGTCACCTTCCATTACTTTTATTTCAATTCATAAGTATGGAAAGTTTTGTCAGTTTCTGTTATTCATCTCTGATAAGATATTTCTGAATTTTAATATTTCAATCCATTTTATTATTTCAGTTAAATGTATTTTTTGTATTTTCAAAGTAGTTGTGTTTATTATGAACGTGAATGACAATATATCATAGAATCAATTTTCAACTGAACTTACATGTACTATAGTACTTTAAACAAAGCTTTAACTTGACTGCAGCCAATGTAATTGCAAGAAAATGAGGATCATGCATTTTACAAAAATTGAATTAATTTTTTTTTTTTTTTTTTGATAATTCTATTCTGTATAATGATGGAACAAAAGGCCCTTGAAGACATGTTCATTTTCCAATCAGTTTGGATATTCCACATGATCATGACCAGTTAAACTTTTAGATCTTGTAAGTTTATGTTCTTACCTTGAGCAGACGTTGACAGACTTGTATGGAGATTTGAATCCATTGCTAGAAGGATGTTTGAAGAATAAAGAAAAATGGCAGAATCTGCAGTCTCGTGCAGTACAACTTGGTGCTATATTTTTTTCAATTGTTTGCACATGAATAGGATGTTTGGCCCTGGCACTGTTTGCTGTTTCGAACCTTCAGAATGTTTGTGACCCTGTTCCAAAAAATTTTTTTTGTTGTTTCCTTCTGTTGACAACAATGCCTGAAAAAATGATAATTGTTAATTTGCTGTTGTAATTGGGGTGTATTCATTTGCAGTGTTATTCACGAAATATTTGCACTCTGAGAAACATCCAATTACCAGCAAAATGTCCGTTGTAATTTTGTAGTTCTCAGCGTGTTGTTGTCCCCAAATAGACTCAGCAGAAAGAATATCCTTGAACAAATAAGGTCTTTCTCTATGAAGTATATCTGTTGTTGATTACCTGTATTCTTGTTGCAAATGACAGATGTTTGCAGAGATGAATCAGAATTTGCGCCCTTTGTATGACGGTGTCTTGGACAATAAGAAACACTGGCAAGAGTTAGCTGACAAACATGAAAGTAAGACAGCAAGGAAGAAAAATGGTTAGCACCCTCATATGTTTGCCCATTGTTGTATTGGTATATTGTGTTGTTTAATATAACTAATATCACACACAGCCTGTTGTGATTTCTGATAAATTAATCTTCAACTTTGTCTGTTATGCTTTGACAAATGATTTTATTACTAATCTTACATCACATAATTTTTTACTATGTGCACTTAGAGTAATATGATACTTAATTTTTGCAAAATATTATATGTATTTTGTTATATTAATGTTAATAAATCTGTATAATGGTAATATATTGACTAGAATGACATATCAGATTAGTTATGTAGTGAAATATCTAGAAACAATTAAATAATATTAAAAATTAACATTGTACAAGCTTGAAAATAGTGCAGTTTTAAAGATAAGTTGTAGTATTAGAAAGCTTTTTTTCAATTCATTAATTGAGTTAATTAATTATTTGAAAATAAATAGGAAATTATGTTGTGTTTTGTTCTTCTAGAGACATGCAGTCGTATGAGAGTAGTATTTATAAAAGATTGTATAGAATTTTTATTTTTAGTAAATGTGAAACTGGGGGATTTTTCTCTTCCTTGAATTTCTTACGTGAATATTTGTTATATATACATTCTATGTCAAATGACACATGCTTAAAAATAAACTTTTAAACTGTCTCCTCTTAGTAACATTCCTTTTAAGATTTTTTTTACTCTTTGAGAGTATTTGTTCCTAAGCTCTACTAACAAGTTAAAAAAGACTTCACTTCTGAAAACAAGTGTGTATTGGATCTATTACCAAATGAAATCTGATTTCATAGCAAAGAAATTTTAGCATCAGAGTAAATGTAAGAAATTTATGGAGTATCAAAAACATGAAAATTTTAGAGGGTTTTGAAATCTTTTTGCAAAGTAAGAAAGTCTGAGGTGAAAGCTAGGACAGCAAATATTACTGACTATCTTAAAAGAAACTTGTTTCTTTTTCATTAAACAGCTTTTTGTGTTTCAATTTATCTAGAAGCATATAGGGTATTCAACTCCTGACATAGGTTATATTTCACTTTTCTTTTCTGATGAAGTTTATATTTGATATCATGTAGCATAACTCCAAATCATAAAGAAAATTTAGGGTCAGTGTGCATCCTACTGAGCAACGGAAATAGTCATTCATAAATCTTATTTCTAATGGTCTTCATAAGCGTTTTTTGAATTGAATCTTGCATAATTTGCATTGTTTAATTCAAATATGCTATTAATGTAATTGATAATTTTAATATTAGCGACATTGACCAGACTTTTTTTTTTCAAAAGCTGATTAGCGACATACCGTAGAATAGAATTAATAATTTGAAAAAAAAAAAAAAAAAGAAACAATTCTAATATATGCCTATTTTGTGGCTTTTGCCACATAACTGCAAAATTGAACACTATTTTATACCTGTTTTCAGGTGGGTTTTTTTTCAGTTATGATTAGCAATAATTAAGAATTAAATAAAGTAATGCTTCTACATTGTGTTGTAAGATAAAATAATTTCCCAAATATTTACCCAGATGACGAAACTCCACCTGAGCAGCAATCTCACAGTCCCGAACAAAATGGTATCTCTCAGAAGCCCGATATCACAGAACAAAAGAGAAAGGTCCTTCATTTGCATTCAGTTTAGTTCCACCCTCTTAGCTCCATCCTTTTAGTCTAGCAGTTTTTAGTTAAATATGTAGATATTTATTACCGTCTTTTATCAGGTTTATGTTGGCATGATTTACAGTAGTTTGTGTTCTGTTTGATCTTTAATTCCACTTTAATTCTTTTTGTTCCAGTTTTGGAATGTTGATTAATCACAATAAAAGTAATATATCACAAGCTATTATCATTTAACACTGGCGTTTTGAGATCGATACAATGAAAAGCATTTTTTATATTTGTATATATGATCAAGTTTTAATTAATGGCAATAGGCATGCAGTTTTACCATGTATGATTTAAGAAAACTCTGGTAACTGTAACAGATTTGTAATAATTCCCTACTTTTTCTCGCTGGTTATTTTTTGTTTTTATTATCTTTCATTTTAATTTCCACTCTTTGATCTCGTTTTCATTTTCTGTGCTCAAATAAGTGTTTGTTCGAAAACAGTTTTTGCACTCTTTTGAATTTATCTACTTGCGATCTAAAGTGATAAAATAAATGGTCTATTTACCAATATAGAGATTTGTAAAATGTGGTACACTGGAATATTGTGTTTAAAAACTGTTTGTCCTTTTAGGAACATGACATGCAATGTGAGGAGAAAGTTTCTATACAGGAGTCCAAGAAAACCAAAATCTGTGTTCTTCTATGATGGTTTTTTTCTGTGGGGAATTAGCATCCATTCAAGAGACAAAAATGGCCATATTAATATTTACTCGAGTATTCTTCTCAAAACGAAGTTGTCCTTTATTACCGGGTATAAGATTTTTATCTTTTTCTTTACTCAGTGTTATTGTAATGCTGATTTAAATTGATTAATATTGAAAATGGAACCAATTTGACATGACCCTTTCACTACCTTGCATGTACATATAGTATATATGTACATGTAGTATACGTTTGTATTGGAATATGAAAAGATTTGTCTATGACGTGTAGAATAATGCAAATCTTAACACTGATGATTAGGATCAATGTTTTAATACTGTTATATCTCTTCTGAAGAGATAATATTAATTTGTTGTTGGTATGTCAATGTCTGATTCTAGATGTTAGGAATACAGTTGACGAATGAACGACTCAATTATACAATGCACTGTTTCCTTTTGTTTTACGTTGTTATATTTCTTATGGTAGAAAGGGTAGTAAATACCTGAGTTTTATATATGAAGCTGTGATAAAATGTAGTGTTTTTTCTGGTTGGTTCTACCACTAGAAAAACAAATTCATCTAGATATAACATTGCATAATTATTTTACGTTAGGTGAACCATAAGGTGCATGTTGTATGCAAAGGCTGTTACGCCACAGTTTCTATACATTTTAATTTTGTATGTTTTACGCAGCATTGGAAGTGTATCGGTATACACACTTTGAAGAGGAAAACATTTTAAATGAAACTGGCAGATACTTATTTTAAAAAGTTTTATATATAGTGGCAAACCATATTCAGTTTTATTTAATGATTTTTACAAGAGTAGATGAAAAAAATACAAGTATAATTTTAGAGATTCAGGATCAGAGTCATTAATAACAAGTTGAGCATTTTCAAATTTCATAAGACAAAAAAGTGAAACATTTTATGAACGTACTGAATACAAAAGAAGGATTCCTTCTGTCTTTTCTGTAAAATGGCTAATGTGTCTATGTGATGTATTTCATCTTTCAGTATGTATTTGTGTATTATAAAGCCCTTACTTGAGAAAGTGAAATGTTTTTAACCGATGATATTTTCTGATTGATATTATATAAACATCAATTGATCTGATGTAATTAAGCATTTTACATTTGATATAGAGATACAAATGCAACAGTTATTTATTTGAAAGTATTCATTTTGTTCATGATTACGAAACAAAAGATGCATTGTAGTTCGATGTAACGTATAATTTATTTCCAAGATGTCGAATTGTTGGTAGTTGTTATTAACAATAAATGGTTGATAAAGTCTGTTCTTGTGGTTTATAAAAAAATGTTTAGTAAATGTAGTATCATAGCTTATATAATTGTTTGATCTTGTATGGTTGAGTCTTGAGATGTTAAGTGTAAAATTAGTCAGCTCGATCACATCTGACATGTTTCAGTATTTACTAATATACAAGTTCACTAGGATCTTTGTCACGTGTCTTGTGTAGGAGATAAGCAATACATTCTGCTTCCGGATACTTACATGTATTTCCAGCAAATTTTCTTTTACATACAATTGCATAATCACGACGTGGATCTAAAAAAGGCGGTGAATGAATGTTGATCAATGTCATATACCCTATAAAACAAGGCGAGAAAAGGGGAAAAAACGGACTCCTGGAAAAAAAGTGTTGTCAGGTACCTATGAAAAGTAAGCAGTTCCTTTGACTGGTCATAACTACAGTGAGCATTGATCAAGTAAACGCAGTAATCTGTAGTCAAAGTTTGTGTCAAAACAATAGCCACACTCGGTAGGAAACTTTGACCCAACAAGAAGTTGTATTTTGCAAATAAGGTCATTTTAACTATCAATATTTACATTTGCAAATGTTTTCTCTTATAATTATTGCACCTTTTAAAGAAAGGGAGCTGTTGAGAAATTATAATTTATAAAAAGATAGTCCACCTCGATCTCTGATCAGCGGAAAAAAAGATAATTTCATGGCCATGTGAATCGGGGCACACCTTCCGTTTAATATTGTTATCAACTTCCTATGTCGGAAAAGTCTTTGTCACAAGATTTTCAAACTTTTCAAAATGAAAAATTAGCACTCTCTGATCAATCAGTGATATGTGTTCTTGTTATTAAATGTAGTGGAGCCTGTGCAACTTGGAATGATAATTTTACACTGAGACTACATATTTTCAGCCATTTTAGGGGCTACTGGTCATAAAGAGAATATAATAAATCACAAAAATACTTCTTCAAACATCGTCGTTTATAGACTTTATTAATGGAACCATATTAAGCAATATTATTCAAGAATAAATTCTTTTTTATTCAATTGACATAAAAGATTAAATCCACATTTCAACGAATATAGACGAACGCAGCACAGTTAAGGTGCCAAATGGAAATATCGGCGATTTTTTTTAGATAGAAAATACATTCTTTACAAGGATGGGCGTTTCTTTTTAGGACTTTACTATTATCGCACAAATGCAATGTGGTTGAAAACTACATATTGAGGACGATTAGATTTCTTATTTAGATTTGTCACGTGATGTGGCAGTCACGTGATTTTAACAAATATCCCTGAAGTATTGAGGTCATCTATAAATTCTAATATTGCAAGGACATTTAACCAAGTTAAAAATCTAAGTTTAACATATAATTATTTTCAACACTCCTTGTAGTTTGTGAAAAGTGCTGCTAACCTATATAGATTCTACTTTCTAATTGCTAAAATTACATTTGTTAGACCGTATGTTGAATATTTTGCTGGTCAAGTAAATTAAATATAGATATAATTAATTCATTTGCAAGATTTCAACAGGTTCGCAGCACTTTTCAAATACATGTATCTTCATACTTCTTCAGTTTATGTGTAAAAGCTTGTCATAATTCATTGAGTGTATGCCCTTGCAATATATCGATTTATTACGACCCTTTTATTACCCTTCAATGAATCTGTACACAAATATACGACAGTATCGCTTGTCTAGGGAATGTACGTGAAGTATATGAATAAAATCATAAAATAGACATCGCATCCAAGTTAATGGCCTCTTATATATCTACAATTTATATTTTATTTAATTACGAAATACATTTTTCATTGTATAAATATAACTTGATCCGCTTCTCATTGCATACAAACTGCGTCAAATTTTACGATATGACGTCACATTGACAAGTGCATTGCGATCAGTGAAATGTTTATATATTGCTGTGTGGGATTTAACCAACGACAATAATGCATGCACTAGTTAGTATTGGTGTAATTTAAAGCTATTCAACAGTTTTAAATAGCAAATCATTTCATTTTGTGGTAATTTAAAGACCTTATATTTTTGTGTGATGTCATAGTAAGCATTTCCCGTAAAAATTAGGCCTCGCCTCCTTACTGCAACCTTAACTGTGCTGCGAATGTGCCCAATATTTTTGGAGTCAATATACCACCTAAATTTGTAAATAAATATTTTTCAGAAGTCTTTGTCAGAATGTTTTCAATCCTTAATATGATGAAGAACATATCCAAATAATGAAAACAGGATTTAATTATTAAATGACTGTTTTGGGGTTGCGTTCATTTACAATGTGAATATTTATCAAAAATGTATTTTTTTTATTTAAAAAGATAATATTTTAGGGAAACATTATTATCATACACCAACCATTATGAATAATTAACAAATAATCATGAAAAGGAATGCACGTCAATTCATGATAGATATTACAAAATTTACACACAATCTTTAACAGACCTTTGACTCGGACACATTTCATTAATATATTGTACTATTTAGATTTCTCAGGAATTTTGCATTCCTCAGAATAATTGCATGTCATTCACACTATCACAGTTGTGTAACTTCATTACATGAGAGAGTCTTGGATTAAAGTCGTAAAGTACGGGAAAAAGTAACATTAAATTATGACGTCATAATGGATCTAGCACCAAAAAGACGGACTAAACTCATTTACTCGATATGACGTCATAGGAAGTGTTTCTTCTTCTCATGTAGAAGTTTTTTTTAAAAAAAATTCTGCTTCATAGGAATATAAAAACAAGTCAGTCAATAAAGGGGCACAATTGGTTCCCATCTGATTTCCAACAGTTTGTTGGAAGACCTGGGGCCTGTATTATAAAAGAACTATAACGGCTAAGACAAAAAATTGAATTCCGCTTATAACTTTCTAATTTACATTACATTGAAAATGGTTTTAATCTTTTTATAAGCAATGTAGAAAGATACTTTAAACTAGCAGTTTTAAACAAAATGATTGATTTTTGCAAACTTTTACAAACAACTTAAGTTTTTGGTCTTATTAGTAAGTTCTTTTGTAAAACAGGCCCAGGTCTCCAAAGACTACGGTATATAGATGTTGTCAATGAGGAACTCTGCATTCTTTTGATATCAACTGCACATGTATTGAACTAGGGTGATTTTGATGACCAATTACAAGACATAAAAATTTCTGAGTTCCATTTTTATTGAAGAAGCATTAACTTTGTCTATGATATCAAAAAGCCTAGTTTTTTATTTATCGTCAGGAATAGTTGTATAAAGTGCAAACAAGTCATACGTTTTGATGTTACTATTTTTGAATTAAAAAAAAAACTTTCATAAATTTCTTTGGAATATTTGAGAATCCAAACCTGATTTACACTACTTTTAGAATATTCTTCTGCACAGTATGTCTGAAGTTTCTCCTTTACAGCAGTTAATATTTTTGTTAGTCCAGGAAGGGACTTGGTAGAGCATTTGCTGGTCCCGGTAATGTATCTTTGTTTGTAAGGATTTTTATGAAGTTTAGGAATCTAGTAAAGGTAGGATAGATAGAACTCACCTTCGTTGACTGGAATGTTTAAAGTATTAAAAAATGTGAATTTTTGCCCAATTGAAAATGATTGGGAAACCAAATAAAACCATCATGTAAAAGTCATTTTACACTTTAATTTATGTAGATTTATACTTGATTATGAATTTGCTCATTTCAAATGTCTTTGTCATTGATCTTAAACTTCCAAAGCTGTAAATACGTAGAGAAATTTGAACACTAAAATTTTTTAATGTGGAATTAGGCATTGAGATTGTGAATCCTCAGTCCATTTCCTAGAACTTGGAAGCAACTTAACAACAATCACGGCAAGTAAGATTAAGTTTTTAGAGTTACCCTTCTTGAGCAGCAAAGGTCTTGATAAAAGTAGGATTATTTTTATACTTTTCTTTTTAAAATACGATTGTCTAACATATCCTTTCTATCTGTGACTTGTTTTTGAATAAATTATCCATAGGTTATGAAAATATTCACGAAAATGTGTTTTATTTACATGGATAAATTTTAAGTAAAAAAAAATGTCTATCTGTCTTTTCTTTACATACTTTAGAAGATATTCATATTATATTTATTAACAGCAAATTTTTAACTGTAAAGCATCTTATTTGTAAATAATTTTTTTTTCATTTTCTTTGAAAAATTGAAAATAAATCTAATAAAATAATTTAGAGCTAATATCGGCCTTTCAATGCTGAAACCATAACTTAACAGAGATGTCTTAAAGATGTATGAAATAAAATTTTTGTGAGGCATTCCTCCATGATATATATTTCTGTCTTCAATAATTCAGAAGTGAAAAAAATTAAATAGATTACACGATCAATATGTACCAGTTGACGGAACAGGTAACAACATACACTACACAAAACGGCTAACACACCACCACGTTTATTAAAATTTACCTTTCCAAAACCTGTTTATGCAATTTGTAAAAATTTTACAAATGATAATCCAACTTATACTCATAGAAGGAAATTTTTCAAAATCATATGTCAATTTTAGATATATTTTTAATATTCCCAACAACCGAATTGAATTTGAGTTACTATACCTATACTGGATACCTAAACTTCATAAAAATCCTCACAAATAGAGATACATTGAGGGTTTTAGTAAGTGTTCTTCCTAGCATCTTTCTTTACTCCTTACGAAAACTGCAGTGAAGGAGAAACCTCAGGTGTACTGTACTGTAAAAGTTGTGTTACGAGGGTCGTTCAATAAGTAATGCAAAATGCGATCTAAAAATAAGAAAAGCACAAGAAACAGTTGTTTTTTTTAATACATATTTTTAACCCCTTAAAGTTTTCCCTGTTAACATTTACACATGTCTAAAGTCTTTATACTCATGATCAGAACACCTCAACATACTCTTTTTGGGGATGCTCAAAGGACAATGATCAATAACTTTCTCAATGATAAACCTAAAATTGTAAATTCTTCCTTTGATTGTTTTCATGAGTTTTGGAAATAAAAAGAT